CTCGACCACGTTCACAGACTTGGATGAGCCATCACGCTTCTCATCGGTCTGCTTTTTCAACTTCGGACAGTCTCGCTTCATATGTCCCGCCTCCTTGCACTTGTAACAGTGAATCGTCTTCTTATCCCTGGATTTGGATCTGGAATTCCGCTTCCCGGACCCTGCCTTCTCTGGCTTCCGTCCACGATCTCGATTACCCTTGACATATAAGCTATCGGCTTGAGAGCTTTCCCCTGCATTCTGCTTCCGCTGGTTGTGAGCCAACAAGGCTGCAGTAATCTCCTCAACGTTGATAGTCTCTTTCCCATATGTAAGAGTAGTCACCATGTGTTCGTAAGAGGAAGGCAACGAACACAACAGAATCATCGCTCTGTCTTCATCTTCAATTTTCACATCAAGCCGAGCCAGATCAGAAACGATTTGATTGAAGACATTCACGTGTTGCGCCAAATCGTGATCGTCCTGCATCTTCAGCCCATACAGCCGCTGCTTCAGATACAGTTTTGTCGTTAAGGATTTGGACATAAACTGACTTTCCAACTTCCTCCAAATTTCGTCTGGAGACGATAGATGCATGACGTGATACATGACCTCGTCCGCCAAGCATAATCGTATGGTTCCTGCCGCTCGCTGCTGCAATTCTTCCCAATCTTCCTCATCCATCGACGCCGGCTTTGTAGGTCGCAAAGCCTTCAAGATCCCTTGCTGCGCCAATAGATCCTTCACCCTCGTTTGCCATAATCCGAAGTTACCCTGACCATCGAATTTCGCGACTTCGAATTTTGCTCCTGACATCTGATACCAATTGTTGACGAAAACGGGTAAAGAAAACGAAAGAACACGAGAATTTTACGAGGTTCGGCAATGTGCTTACGTCCTCGGTGCCTAGGCGGCGCTAGAAGTTTTATTCAATGATTTTTTAGGTCTAGGTTACATCTCTATTTATAATAGAAAACCCTGGTACATAATTACAAAATCAACCCTGTACCGTACCGCGGGGCTGCGCCCCCACACCCCCAACCCACATAATTCGTAACCCCACAACGAGACTTTTTTATGAGCCATACATAACAGAAAGGCCATAAAATATCCTTCCTTTTGCCTGAAGGAGTTCAACCGAGCCTTGAAAACATGAACCAATTCACCAACCTCATTCAATTCTTTCCTCTCCTTCTTCCTCGAGTCGATGGCCTCTCTCCTGGTGCTGAAACCACGTCTGTTGTTCCTTTGAACCAGCAAAGGTATCCTGCTTTTGCAGTTGATCAAACCAGAGATCAAGTTGAATCCATCTTCAAGGTTGTAAAACCTGATGTGGTTTTCTATGCTTTCTGGTTTTGGATCCCTGACTTAGCTCGCCAACTCGGGATCAGTCCCATATTCTATGTAGTGGTTTCCTCCATGTCGATGGCGTTAAACACTAAGAAACTAACCAAGGAAAATGACAGCTGAAGAGGTGATGGTATTGCCTCCCGGTTACCCTCCTTCCACGGTGAAACTCAAGGCTGAAGAGGCTGCTACAATGTTGTTTGAGGCGGAGGATTTCGGGAGCGGGCTGTCGTTTCAAGATCGGATAAGGAAGAGTACGATAGGAAGTGATGCAATTGCCATCAGAACTAGCCGCGAAATCGAGGGACCGTTCCTTGACTATGTTGGTAAAGGGTTTGGGAAGCCTGATTTGTTAACAGGGCCTTGCTTGCCTGAAACGAGGACCCAACAACTCGATGACGAATGGGTTAATTGGCTAAGCCAGTTCCAGCCAGGATCCGTTGTGTTCTGCTCGTTTGGAAGTCAGAGTGGGTTGCAGAAAGATGAGTTCCAGGAGTTGGCCGTTGGGTTCGAGTTAAGTGGGCTACCATTTTTGGTAGCTTTGAAGCCACCCCAAGGATGCTCGACTGTTGAAGAAGCACTGCCTGAAGGGTTCCAAGAGAGGGTTAAAGAGAGAAGGTTGGTTTATGGTGGTTGGGTTCCACTGGAGCCGTTATTGTACCACCCAGACATCGGGTGTTTCGTGAACCACTGTGGGTATGGAACAATGTGGGAGTTTTTGCTCAGTGACTGTCAGATCGTGTTGATTCCTAAAATTGGGATCAAATTCTGAACACAAGGTTGATGGTGAATGAACTCAAGATCGGTGTTGAAGTCGAGAGAAATACAAACAAGAAGGTATCAAGGGAATCACTGAGCGAAGCCATTAAGTTGGTGATGGACAAAGACAACGAAACAGCTAAGATGATGAAGGCAAACCATGCTAAGCTGAAGCAAATGCTTTCTAACAGTGTTCTTCAAGAAGAATACATCAACAATTTCATTCAAGCTCTGCAGGGTCTTGTCGAATAGTATAAACTGCAAAGTAAGAAATGTAACGATAAACAAATTTTATCACCCTTAACTAATGAAAATCATTTAAACGTACAAACTAGATAACGGGTGTTCAAACTATGTACTCCAAAGTGATAAAACACAACATCAAAACTCCATTCTGGTCAAATACAACATCATAACTATCAAATGAAACCGCCTAATGCTAAGATGATTAAGGACTTTCGGCCCATTTCTTCTTGTTCTGTGGTGTATAAACTATTACCAAGATTATTGTTAACAGACTTGCTAATGTTTTTCCTAATATGATAGCCTTAAACTAAACAACTTTTGTTTATGGTCGTGACACAGTGGATAATACCCTTTTAGCTCAGGAGACGATTAAAGGGTTTGTTAGGAAATCACACTCTCTCACATGTGCGCTGAAAATTAATCTAAGCTTTTGACTCCTTGAGTTCAGGCTTTATGCTTCGGATTCTTGAAGCTTTAGACTTGCCTTTACAGTCAGAGAATGGATTCATGTATGTTTCATCGAGTCTAGATTTTTTATTTCTATTAATGAAAGTCTTGTTGGTTTTTTCAGAGGAGCAAGGGGCATTAGGCAAGGGGGCCTCCTTTCCCCCCTTTTATTCGTCCTCATTATAAATGACCTGTCGAAGATGATTGATATGGCTGCTGCAAGTGGAATACTTAATTTTCATCCCAAGTGTAAGAAAGTGGGACCAACTCATCTTTACTTTGTTGACAACTTGTTAATATTCTGTAATGGTCCCTTGATTCGGTTATTGGTGTGCATTGTGTTTTAGACAGCTTCTACTTGATTTCTGGCCTTAAGTTGAATGCCAGAAATTTTCGTTTCTAGGATTGCGACTAAGCAGTTGGATGACATTAGAAGCTTCTTAAGGTTCAAAGTTGGCACTCTTCATTTTCGTTACTTTGGTGTGCCACTAGTTATAAGGGAACTTAATGAAAAGGACTGCTCTCTTATTGACAAAATTAAAAGCTGGGACAGGGGGGAATAAGCACTTTAGTTATTCAGGCAGGCTGCAGGTGATTAGGTCTGTTTTGTTTAATATTACCAATTACCGGTTTAGGCGCCTTGTTTTGCCTCAAGCTGTCATCAAGAGGACCGACTAGATTTGCACTCGTTATTTTAAGAAAGGGGAAGACACGACACGACTGCTGCTGGGGCTTGAGTTAGCTGGAAGCCAATTTGTTCTCTTAAGTCTAAGGGTGGTCTTGGTTTAAAAGACACTAAATGATGGAACAAGACATGCATGCTCCTTCTTATTCGAAAAATCCTGACAGGGGAGGGGTCTCTTTGAGTTGCATGGATTAAAGCTTATATCTTAAAAGAAATGGACCTTTGGCGAGCTGAGAAGGTCAGCTTTAACTGGAGTTTGCCTAAAGATCCATTACATAAGGAACTTAGATACCCTAAAGAACCATGGAAAAGGCACTGAAATCAAATCGAGGAAATTTTGGTAACGCTATAACTATATTGCCTTTTTCACTTTTCATCAAACAACACGAATTAGATATTGCACCAAAAAGAGACACACCTCGACAAAATAACTAACGGTAAAAAAATAGTTTCCCACGACCGGCTCGAACAGTAGGTCTAACCGAATCAATTCGGTCGATTCTCGTAACTTGAGTAGATCTGAAATTAATGGGTAACGACTACGAAAACGATAACTCCATTTCCGAGTCGATATCTCCTGCAAAATTACGACTTCCAAAATTAATCTCTAACCAGTAATCAGTATACGAAATAATATAATAATATATAACGGCAACTGAAATTTATTTTTGACCCGATCGAGTAACTGCCAGCGTTTCGATTAGAATAAATAATTACACCAGAGACACTGTCGGCAACGAGTTTGTAGCGGCAGCAACCCCAGGGATCAAGGAGCCTTACTGTGGCCTTAAACAGTCGGCGAAGACACCAACACGGGTTGGCAACAAACGGCAACACCTTCCAGATCTGATCAAAGAGTCATTGAGTGAAGCCATCAAGTTGGTGATTGACAAGGACATTGAAACAGCTAATATGTTGAAGGCAAGCCATGCCCAGCTGAAGCAAACACTTCGTAGCAGAGATATTCAAAAAGAATATATCAACAATTTCATCCAAGCTTTGCATGATCTAGTACAAAAATAGTCTCAAGTTGCAAAACGAGATGCATGAAAATCACCCAAATAAAGGAATGAACGTTCCTATTCCTTTCTCCATCCTTTCATATATCTTTCTCATGCATTAGTATTGGTATTGTAATAATATGTTTGTTTAGAGAGTGTAAGTTATCATATTATAACATATAAAGACATATTTAGTAATCATATCTATATAAATAAAGAAATCTTTTCTTCGTTCCAAATGGCAAGCTTTGGTTGCAATGAAATCATGACTGGTATTATTTGAAATGTGGAAGATTGTGTCCTAACGTGGCATGATTTGAAGAAAAGTAATAGAAATTATTACATTATAGGAGTATCAGATATTGTTTGATAAATTATTACATTATAGGAGTATCAGATATTGTTTGATAAAAACTATGTATTCCAAAGTGATAAAACACAACATCAAAGCTCCCTAGTGATCAAATACAACATCATAGCCATGAAATGAAAGAGGAACTAAGATACCCTAAAGAACCATGAAAAAAGCACTGGAATCAAATCAAGGAAATTTAGGTAACCCTGTTTTTTCTTTCGACTTCAATCTCAAAACTGGGGGAAGATAAAGGATGATAGTACGACGAGGAAAGTTTTTTGTTTAATGATATGGAGATTTGAGGAAACTCAACATCATATACCAATTAATCAGAACAGCAGCCAAGTTTCTTGATGGCAGAAACGTCATCTTTTGGGCCTACATTGACGGTTTGTCCCTTAGGCAATGCTGCAGGATCATCCCCTACTTCAAGCGCCTTTCGGCTTACGACATGGTAGATTTGAGTCAACACTTCGGTGAATGCATTCTCTACGTTCAGGGACTCGAGGGCCGATGTCTCCATAAAGTAGGTGTTTTCTTTCTCGGCAAACGCTTTGGCGTCCTCTGTGGAAACAGCACGCAGGTGCCGTAGGTCTGCCTTGTTACCTACAAGCATAATCACGATATTGGGGTCCGTGTGGTTTCGTAGTTCCTTCAACCATCTATCGACATTCTCGAATGTGATGTGTCGAGTGACATCATAGACAAGCAACGCACCAACGGCTCCCCGGTAGTATGCACTTGTAATCGCTCGATATCTGAAAAATATATATCACAAGAAAACAACTCTGAGAAAGCTCATGGAACACATCCATTCAGTGGGTCAAGCTTTGACAACTCAGGCTCGTGTAGAAATCATTTCTTCTTTTGACAGGCACCTAAACACTTGATTTAAAAAAAATCGATACAGGATGTTCATTTCATGCTCTACAAGTTCTCAACATAGATTTTGTTTAATTTGAAAAGACCTAAGGTCAGTCAATATAGAAAATTAAGCGTTACGTAAAGTTTTTAAATTAAATTTTTTCACTTCACAAATATATTATATTGTGGAGCCTCACTCCGGTATATATTCCCCAGAGAAACACCACAGAAAATTATCCACGCAGCTCACACAAAACATCCAAGAAACGCAACATGAGCCTTCTTTGAACAGAGAAGGCTAAACATAGATCTCGTTACAGACAAATCCGTCTAAAATGAATGAAGGAAAGTAAATCGATCGATAAGTCGGATGTACAAATGATATCATCTTCAAAAACCCTATATTCTAAAGATGGTTACTATTATAGTTGATGATTCGACTAGGACTTTGAAGAAAAGTAGGTCTAGTTCCACCTTTTCAACAATAAATCAAGCTGTAACATTTATCGATTAGACCGAAATGCATACTCTATGTAGCTCATCTATTAGTAAGCTAACTATGAATTTTTTTGTATATAACATAGCACATGCGAACTAATCAAGAAAAGTTGTCATTCAAATATGCTTTAAATCTAGACCAATACCTACTTTTCACCAAATTACCAAAATCCAAGTCCTCATGCTTTAACATGAAAGGAAAATTCTGAATGCAGTTTACTTCTACATTTTCTTAGCAACCAAACAAAGAAAAAAAGAAATCCTTGGACTTCACCAAACCTATACTATAGTCTAAAAACACCTTCTTTTCCCCAAATCACTAAGAAATTCCCCCCCCCCCAAAATATCCAAAAATCCAAAACTACATCTCCTCAGCTACTAAACAGCTCTAAAATTACAAAATACTACACAGCAACTCAAAAAATAATAATCTTTACGAAATTATAAATAATAGTAATATAGAATAAATAAGTTTTAAAAGATCTACCTTTCTTGTCCAGCAGTGTCCCAAATCTGTGCCTTGATGACCTTATCGTCGACCCGAATGCTTCGTGTTGCAAATTCTACTCCTATCGTGGATTTTGACTCGAGGTTGAACTCGTTTCTCGCAAACCTCGACAGCAAATTCGATTTCCCCACACCCGAATCTCCAATCAGTACTAGCTTGAACAGATAATCGTAGTCCTCATCTGCTCTATACGCTGCCATTTCGGGTCACCGGGTTGGTGTTTTTGGGATTTTTGGTAAAAGGATTAGAATCTACGAAGAAATTTTATCGACAGACAGAGATCGGGGGAGTCGGAGAGGGATTTTTGAAGTTGCAATAAGAAAGGGAGAAAAGGTGGCTTAGATTGAGAGTACAAATATCGGGTCGGGTTGGGTCGGTCGGGTCGAGAAATTGGATCTATTTCACTGGTCTCGTTTAGGGGAAAGGTTTTCAAATTTTAATATTGAATTGAGTCAAAATGGTAGAAGACTGGTGAAAGTAAGAATCACGATTTGAAAATTACCAGGAAAGTAATACTGAATTCTGACTGTGTATGGCGTTGTTTTTTCTTTTTCAACGTTATTAAAAGGGGTGAATTCACGATAATGTTCTCGAATTTTTTTATTCACGATATAATGCACATCCCAGATTAATTGTTGAAATTGGGTGAATTCTACAGTAACCTTGGAGGTCGCCATGGCATCCGGGCGACCTTAGAGGTCGCCATGGCATCCGAGCGACCTGTGTGGTATTTTGCAAAGGTGTAGGTCGCCATGCAATCAAATAGTATTGGAGCATGCATGGGGGAGTTGTAGGATGCATGTTGTGCATGGGACGTGGAAATGCATGGAGGAGTTGTGGGATGCATGCTGTGCATGGGACGTGGGAACTGTGCATGGGCCATACACGTCAAACGGTGTGACTGCATGTGCATGCATGAGGTCTCGTGAGCTAGGATTACATGGCGACCTACAAGGTCGCTGGGACTACATGGCGACCTACAAGGTCGCCGGGACTACATGGCGACCTACAAGGTCGCCTAGGCTGCATGGCGACCTCTCCATTGGCACTCGTATCGTATAAGACTGCATGGCGACCTCTCCATTGGCTTGTATGGCTCGTCTGCATGGCGACCTCTCCTCGTATAAGACTGCATGGCGACCTCTCCATTGGCTCGTATGGCTCGTATATGGCTCGTATGTCACCCCGTATGGCTCGTATGTCACCCCGTATGTCGCCTGGATTGTATAGCGTCCTACAAGATCGCCTGGATTGCATGGCGTCCTATGGCCATCACTGTAGAATTCATCCCATTTCAACAATTAATCTGGGATGTGCACTATATCGTGAATAAAAAAGTTCGAGAACATTATCTCGTGAATTCATCCTATTAAAAGTTATAAAATAATTTTTTAATTATAAAAAGTTATTTTACTGAGTACTCCATTTATTAAAAATTATAAATAATAATTTAATTATTTATTATATTTTAAATTTATTATTTTATGTTAAAAATTTGATGATAATCTAATTTAGATATTAATTTATTGTCTGATATATAATAAAATTTCAGTTTAAATATCAAAAAAATACCCAATGTATGTCTTTAGTTCCAATTTAATACCAAATATTTTTTATTCCAACTTAATACCTAACGTTTGATTCCGTAATTAGACCGTAATAGACATTAGTTTCAGCCATTATATGTTTTTTAATATTTAAAAATATCTCCCTCTCCCTCTCCCTCTCCCTCTCCCTCTCCCTCTCTTCCCCTTTCTCTTTCCCTCTCTTCACCGAAGGTATCAAATCCCATTTCCCCTCTTTCTAAAACCAGTTCAAGTGGGTAAAGATTTCACGGACAAAATATCATTTCATCACCAACCAAAACACATACAAAAGCCAAAAAAAATATAGAAAAAAGAAACCCATCAAATGGTTTTTGTACATTTCCGCGTACTCGGCTGTCGACTTATCCGATTCTAAATTGGTTACAAGGGTTGATCTATCCTCCTTTGAATCTGTTAGAGTTGACCCAACAATCTGCTTCACTTTCCCCTGGTGATAGATCATACTGTAAGTGTTAAGAACTACAGAGAAATCTCAAAGCCAATCTCACACAAGCACCAATACAAGATTCGAAAACTGACGGCGCAACGAACAGGGGAAAAACAAGATTCTACAAGAAAAAAATTTGGTCAGATTCGAGAAACCCAGTAAGGAAAAAGAAAGAGGGAAAACTGTAAGGAGTTGTACAAATATTAAACTAAGTGAAGGGATGGCAGCTCTGGGAAATGGAAGGTTGGTAAAGCCATAAAACGAAGACCTGAAATTGCTGCCATGGGAAATGCCACTAAGCTTCCTTATCGAACAACTCCCATGGAGGTTGCTGCTTCACATCCTTGAAATCGCCCTTTTCTTTAAATTTTCACAAAACCCCTCGGCCAAGATGAAGACTGAAGAGGAGATTTGAACCAGTAGACAAATCTGAAAATGATTTGGGATTTGGGTTAAAGAAGAAGAAAAAAAAAGAACGGGAAGATAGAGGGAAAATCATTTTTTAATATTAAAAACATATAATGTAATATTTTTAACGGGTTAAGGCCGAAATTAAGGTGATATTTGTTTTTAAGTTAAAAAGTCTGCAGTCTGTGGATCATATCTGTAGGCATCTGCAGTAGAAGAGGTGAATCAAAAGTCTGCAGTCTGCAAGAAGAAGAATGTTTGTTTTTTAACGTCTACAGACTGTTAAAATAAACTTAATATAAATAAACTGATCTTTTAATAAATTTAATAAGTATTTTATAATTTTTTAAATTTTATTGACGAAAATGATCATTTGTATATAACTCAACGATAACTAATATATTTTATTTGAAAAAATATATTAAATAAATATTATACGAATTTTATTATTTTAAATTATTACATCTACGAACTATTAGATTTTGGTTTTAATATTATATATCATTTTAAAAATTATTATTAAATCAATTGATAATGAAATTAATTTGATTTTATTTCAATCTGTTTGTTTCGGTTTAAGTAATTATTAAAAAAATTATATTTTAATTCTCAATTATTATTGATTCACAAATATAACAATACTCGATTTTATAATATCATTTAAATCATCTTAATTTATTCGAGTGGTACAATCTGATTCTAGTAACATAAAAATATATATATAATATATACTCCATATAATATACATCAATTAGTATTTTTTCTATTTAGAAAAAAATATATTATTTGTTTTTTATTTATTTATTCTGTGTAAAGGGACTTTCGTACTTTACCAAAATTAAATGATAAGAATCTGTTTTTTTAATAGTGTGAATATTTTTTTTATTAAAACATTTATTTTGTCTTTTAATGCTAATAATTGTATGTTCCCGTGATTTTCTAAGTTTTTATATATAAAAAAAAGTTTACTAAGTTTAATTGTATAATATTTTTTACTAAGTTTAATATATTTTTTCAAATAAAGTATATTAGATATCATTGAGTTATATAAAAATGGTCATTTTTGTCAATAAAGTTTAAAAATTATAAAATACTTATTAAATTTATTAAAATATTATAAAATTATTAATAAATTTTTCTAAATACTATAAAATAATTATTATATTATCGAATTTTTATAATTTATTACAACATTATAGTGACTATTTTGTAATAATTCATTAAATTTAATGACATTTTATAATTTTTATAAAATTAATAACAAAAATGGTTCTTTGAATAGGTTAGAAGACGTCTGCAGACATAAGGTCACGTCTGTGTCGCGCAGGCCACACGCAGACCTTAGAAGAGCTTTTGTCTTCTAAAAAATAAACGGTCTGCGAAGCCCAATGTCTGCGCGTGGTCTGCGCGGTGCAGACATAAGAGATTTGAAGACCTTAAATAGTGGAAACAAACACCACCTAAGAGTCCGTCGCGTCTTGATTTAATATGAATTACGAAATTAAACGTTATGAATCAAACTGAAATGAAAAAAATGTTAGGCGCCAAAATGGAACCAACGGTATACATTGGACACTTTTTTATGTTTAAGCCTAAAATTTAATCATAAAATCTCAAACGATTATTATAATTCAGACAGTAGATTAACATCAAGTTAAGAATGTCGTTAATTTTTAATAAAAAAAAGACGAGCTTGGAACATGCCAGGTGATCATTTTGTAACATTTAATAGTAGTGAAACTCAATAAAATAATACCCTATAATTGGAGAACTATTATATAACTTTTAATAATTAATGAACTCAACAAAACAACATTATATAGTCGGTGGATCATCTATGTACTTTATCCTATTTAAATTTATAAATTTTAAATTTAGATTCGATGCAAGTATTTTTTTAATATTTATTATTTGAAAGCTGCTTTATTTTAAAAATATAAATGAGAACATAAAATATATATATAAAGACATTGCAAATATTGGGGAAAATAAACTTCAAATAAATTTTAAAAAAATAGAAATCAACGAAAAAGAAAATGTTTAAGTTGATGAGAGAAAAGGAGACGCCAACGAGAGAGAATATATTAAAATTTTAGTATTTTAAAATTGGAAATACAAAATATATGCTAAAAAATTGACCGTAATATATTTTAATATTTTAAAAAGAAAGTACGAAATCAAGTAGATTATGTGGTTAAGGAATTCTTATAGTTTTTTGAGGACTTGACTCGAACACCAATAATATAAAAAACGTAAATATTTAATGTTAAAAAGATTAAAAATTATCTATAAATAAATACTATATTTTAGTTACGTCAGATTAATCAAATTTTAATACCGAGATTAGATGGAATCGGAAAGTAATTTATTAACTGAAATAATTAATTTATTCAATTATCGAAGGTCTTCTACGTGGATAAGGTTGTCAAGCACCGTACGTCTCTCCAACTGATGAACTTTGGTAAAATTGCCACGTCAGCTTCTATTGATCGATCTCAATCTCTTACATCATTCGTCTTTCATTATCTTACAATGATTTTCTCGTACAAATTCAATCCCGACACCGAAAGAAAAGGCCCCCGATAAACATGGAGAAGACGGCGGCGGATGTCATGAAACGCGACGCTTTGGGGAAATTTCCTGATAATTTAGAGTACCAATCAGGATTCGGCAATGATTTTTCATCGGAGGCGATCGCCGGAGCTCTACCACGTCGCCAAAACAATCCCCTTATTTGCCATTTGGGGCTCTATGCTGAGCAGATCTCCGGCACTTCCTTTACTTCTACGCGCAAGCTTAATCAACGCAGGTAATAATTTTTTATAAAAAAATGATTTTTAAACAATTTGTATATTGATTTAAATTAAAGATGAGTTTCCCC